TATTTTTTTCGGCACCTAAAAAAATAAAATTTCACTCAAAGTGGGTGGCCACAGGTATTTTAAGCCATTCTGTAAAGTTTTGAAATTTTTACTTTTTTGCTTATTATTATTTTTTTTGGCATATAAAAAAATTTAAATTTCACTCAAAGTGGGTGGCCACGGGTATTTTAAGCTATTCTGTGAAGTTTTGAAATTTTTTATTTTTTTTTATTTTTTTCGGCACCTAAAAAAATTTAAATTTCACTCAAAGTGGATAGCCACAAGTATTCTAAGCCATTCTGTGAAGTTTTGAAATTTTTGATTTTTTGCTTTTTTTATTTTTTTCGGCACCTAAAAAAATAAAATTTCGCTCAAATTGGGTGGCCACAGGTATTTTAAGATATTCTGTGAAGTTTTTAAATTTTAGAATTTTTTATTTTTTTTTGGCAACTAAAAAAATTAAAATTTGCTCAAAGTGGGTGGCCATAGGTTTTCTAAGCCATTTTGTGAAATTTTTTATTTTTTATTTTTATTTATTTTTTTCGGTACCTAAAAAAATTTAAATTTCACTGAAAGTGGGTAGCCACATATTCTAAACCATTCTGTTAAGTTTTGAAATTTTTGATTTTTTACTTTTTTTCTCACCTCAAATATCGTGACTTCCATATGAATATGTGTGTTGAAGAAAATGAATTCCTCAGAAATGATTCTCACTTTTGTTCCAGAAATGAAAAACCAACTTTTTTTTTGTTCTCATTTATGATTTCAGAATCAGTTTTGGAAGCAAACTTGTTCCGGAAATAGAAAAATGAAATTGCGTTACCAAACGGGTTTCTGGTCCAAAACTGATTCTGGGAACAAAAAACCAGTTCTGGACAGAACCAAAATGGTTTTCATGCAGCACCTTAACTAGCAGAGTTTCTTTTTTCGTTTGGTCCGCTTCTTGAATCTTCAGGGAGCTTGGGATCGGCATAGTGCCGTATAGTCCTCTCGATTGCGGGTTCTTCGGTGGTATGGGAGTGACAGGAACTATGCCTGAGAAAAGCTTTCTGGTATGTGACATGTCTTATTTCTTTGGTGTGCGTATCATTTAGTCCAAGCTTCTCCAAGATATTCCTGTTTCCTTAAATTTATTTTTTCAGGAAAGACATCCCAGGTTTCGAAAGGAGAATTTGGAGAAGAACAAAATCTTTTACACCCGAATCGTGAAGCTAGCAAGCAAGCACAATTGCACCCCGATTCAGCTCGTGCTGGCATGGGTTCTCCATCAAGGGGACCATGTTGTGCTGATCCTGGGTGTGTAGCCAAATTTTCGTACCCATTTTTCTTGAGTGGAAGCATAAATTGTATGATTATTACATTCCCTTTAACTACGAAAACCTGGACTGCTATGGCCTGTCCCGTCCCTAAACCCCTATAAATCAGTCTCTAATAACTACTGGCGATGGGCATTCTGACTGTCAGCAGCAGTCGCCTTCCACTTACTGCTAAAAAGATAAGCGACCGTTTTCTGGTGCCCGTCGCTCGATTTCTATACGTCCTTTCATAAGTTCTCTGAATTTATGAATTCTTGGTTCATTAACAGACACGTCGCATTATGAATTCTCTGAACTTATACGTCGTTGACGACTGGACATGAATTCTTGGTTCATTAACAGACACGTCGCATTATGAATTCTCTGAACTTATACGTCGCTCGATTTCTATACGTCCTTTTATACATCGTCAGAGGATGATGTGAGAGATATTGGATGCTGTGCCGATCGACGAGGTTGATGGTGGCAGTATTCATAAAGGGTTTGCTCGTTACTCGCCGAGGTATGCAGACAGGCCCCCCGAGAGACGGGAAATCGTCAGCTTAGACTGTTACATAAAGCATTGTTTCGCTCTCTGCATTGTTCTTTTCTCGTCTGTAACCGAGGCCAGAAATCGATCATGGGATCGATGAAAAAATAAAGCCAGGGACTGTTAAGTCCCTTAGATCTGGAAGGTAAAGCGTGTAGCTGAGTCCCTAAGTTTGAAGAAATGTGCTATATTCTAAAATAATCACCAATAATAATCTTGCAATTTGCCGTTGCTGTTTGTTACCATTTTTGAGATTTCTAGTTTTATGGTACACAAATATGGCATACTGTTCCGTGCTGGTAACTTTTTAAAACTTTGGTAACTTGTAAGACCCGTTTATAATAATACTTGGTGCATAATGAGTTGGTAAGTTACCAACACTTTTACTAAAGTACAACGCTATTAAATCAAAACTATAAGCTATTTCATCAAATTATCAAAATTTATTTTAGTAGGTTTATTTATGTGTTAAAGTTTCTAAATTTATACTATATTACCCACCTTAATTTGAGTCGCTTATATGGTGCTGGAATTACCAAGTATTTCAATAATTATGAACATTCATTCGTGTCACTTACCAACGTGTTAAAGTTATTAATTTATGAAATAGAAGTCGTTCTTTTTTCGGTTTAATCTGAAACGTGGATGTCAATAACGTATCTAATATAACAAGAAGCCAGGGGAAAGATGAATGGAAAACCTTAGCAAGTCTGCTAGCATATTCGCATGCGTCATGCCAACCGAAAAGCAGAAGCAGAAACATCCAAAACAGTGAAGGAGGAAACTTCACCGGTAGAAAATAATGGTAGGAGTGGAAGTTCCGAGAGTGAAGCTACAAGGACTGGAGGTAAAATCAGTGCAAGCCCATGTCTTTTTTAATGCCCATTACAAATATTTCCAAGAAATGATGGAATTTCTTTCTTGATTCTGCGTGTGCTGGAAGGGCTAGACTTTTTATTGATGTGTTTCTTGATAACGATGTGTAGATTAGTTGATCCTCACGAAATTTTGCGTGGTTGTGGACGTGGGCATTGGATTTATGCATGGAGGTTTCGAACTCGAGCCGTGGGTAATGAGTAGAATTGTCTGCTACACATCCACTGATACAATAGGGGGCTTTTTGCGATGCTGCAAATATTGAAATTGGATATCTGGTTTCTGCTTTGTGTCTACAATGGAAGCAGATGTCTTCTCCAGCCAAGACAACAGAGTCTCCACAGTCCTATGCTTGCTTGCTCACTCGCGTCACCTTAAAAAGGAAACAACCATTGCAGACTAATGTTATAGATTATGGGATGATGAGATGGACTGAACTTAATTACAAATACATGTAAATATATGAGACATAGAGTACTTTAAGTGAGTGCGATAGGGGATCGTAATGACCACCATTCATGCAATAGCAAGGGTCGTTTCAGAACATTTTAGCATAAAGTTTTGAGGTTGAAAATTGTTGGCGAGTTTGTTCAATGTGCTATAATTTAGACTGGTTTGACTTGATCCAGTGAAGTGAGTGTTAAGATTAGGCGCACAAACACAACGAAATAAAAAATAAAAGCGAGAAAGAGAAATCGAGACACAAGGTTTATCTCGGTTCACCTTCAAACTAGAGTTACGTCTAGCAAAAGATTCCATCATAATTAGTACTTCTCACCTCTCTATTACAATCCTCAATTACAAGAAAAAGAGATTATATATACTCAGTAGCAATTTATGGTCCCAAGTTCAAACTATCAATAAAACACAAATTCAAAAATTATAAAGGCCTTCTAGCATCGCGGGATATTACTCCCCTATGACCCCACCCGCTTACCAGGGAATGAGATCCCGTGCTTTCGTATCGATGGGAATCACAACCCAAAAGTAAGTTGGCACTAGGCAGTAATGATTCGGTGCTTCTGGAGAACCGAGTGACAGTCTACCCAACTAACAAAGTTAAGAACTTCAACTGCAAGATTGTATGGCAGTGATCTTTCCCCATGTCAATGTCTGATCTTTTCTCTGTTTGTGTCTGTTGAAGTCCATGATATGTGATCCCGGAGCAGTGTGAAAATCTTCACTAGGATTTTCGCCTAAACTCTACATATGCCCAAAGCAGTCACCTACATGTTTTAGTACCACACACCTCGGTGCAACCTTAAGCTTTTTGATGGACTGGCAGTTTTTTCATATGTATAGTACATCCATTTCCTAATTTTGTTTCAATACATGTATCAAAGTTGGGGTTCGCATGCATTGGCTTGAGCAGTTCCTACGATACTATCATTGCCAAGGAGGATGGCATTGCCATAATAAAGCATGCTCGTAGCAAAGGAATCACTTTCTTTGATACGGATGTATATGGAGCAATCGTTAATGAAGTTCTGTTAGGGATAGCATATATAGCTCGAATTCTCGAGTTTTGCTGCAACCCCAGTTCAATTCATTTTATTTATTTGCGTGCATCGTATCGAAAATCAGTTTTTTTCATTTTGCTTCCATCAGTTCATTTCCTAAGAAAAAAGGTAGAAATGAAGGAAAAAGTTATTCACACAGTGGGAAACGGGATTATATATGGCGATAGAGTTGATATTGAAGTTGGAGACGGTGATGTCATTATTTTTGTGCAGCATTTTCATCTGTCATTCTTCTTACCGTTCTACAAATTTTTTAAGGTCTTGAAGCAATTGCAAAGAGAAAATATTCAGCTAGGCACAAAGTTTGGTTTAGTAAGGTCCAACTATCCTAACGTCATAGTTAAGGGCAAGCCTGAATATGTGCGTTCTGCGTTCTTGTTGTGAAGATGGTTTGAAGCGACTCAATGTGGAATACATTTATCTGTATCAATAGCATCGAATGGACACATCACGTCCAATTGAAGAAACTCTAGGTGTCTTTTTTTTTCATGTACATCTGTACTATCTTTTTAATCTTTCGGTGATCTAGTTCATTTTGAGGAAGTAGATTATCCCAAGAAAGCACTAAAAGTATACATTTTTTTTTACTTATTTTGATGAGATAAACAAACAGAATATGTAAGGCGACGTTGAAATTTAAAAGTCCTTTTATTACCCTTTCGACCTGAAACGTGGATGTCAATAGAAAAATAAGAAAAAACTCAATGACTCTGCTGACATATCCGCGTGCGTCATGCCCGCAAGGCAAGTCCACTCCAGTCGAAAGATTGCAACGACCGATATCCAAACTGTCTCTGCTTACATACTCGCATGCGTCATGCCCCTCCTACTGTTCTCAAGACATACATAATCTCTCCAAGCAACTGGACAATTCTGAGATCACACGGACCCTCTGCCCGAAAAGCAGAAGCAGATATCCTCAACACACCGATAGAAAACAATGGCAGGAGTGGAGGTTCCAAGGGTAAAGCTTGGAAGCCAAGGACTGGAGGTAACATCAACGCATTCCCAGATCTTTTTTAGTGCCCGTTACATGTTTTTTTCAAGAAATGATTAGTTGTTTTTTTCTTGATTGTGCGTGTACTGAGAGGGCTGGACTTTTTATTGTTCTGCTTCTTGATGACGATGTCTCCGTGGTCGATGTGTAGATCAGTTGATGGTTTTTTATGAATTTTTGGGGTGGTTTGGGACGTGGGCATTGGATTTATGATGAACGTTTCGAACTTGAGCCGTGGGTAATGAGTAGAATTCTCTGCTACACATCCACTGATACAATAGGGGCTTTTTGCGGTGCTGCAAGTATTGAAATTGGATATCTGGTTTCTTATTTGTGTCTACAATGGAAGCAGAGGTCTTATCCAGCCAAGTCAACTCGACACAGTTCAGGTGTGCTCGAGTTTGACTCTACTTGAATCGAGTGTTCAAGGTTGGAGTCTGGGCAGTCCTTAAAAACTCGACTTAAGCTCGATCTAGCTTGAATTTTCAAAGAAACAGAGCTCAATCCATGAAGAATTTGGAATGCTCAACTACTCATCACTTGATTTAGTCTAAACTCAAGTTAAAGTCATTGAGCTCGAGCATAAACTCGTGTTCTCAAAGTCCAATAGGAACAAAGAAATAACATTATGCATGTTTTTCTTTTATGTATAACTGAAAACTTCTATCAAACTACTCCAGCAAGCTCGTGAGCTGCTCATGTTAAGAATTTTAAGCTGTAGCTCAATGCTATTTGGTATTTGAGCACACATATAGCAAAGGAATTAAGTCAAGCAGGATTAATCTGCTAGTTGAGATTGAGCAGATCACTATTACCATGACACATTTTTGTCCCCACCCTAAATCGGAGTTTTTGAACTTTAATGGCAATGTTCAGCTTGGAAATATGAACAGAACTTTTCCTGATATAAACGTTTTGACAATGGTAAGTGGTAAACTCACTTCTTTTTTTACCACAGGTATCCAAGTTGGGGTTTGGATGCATGGGCTTGACTGGTGCCTATAACTCTCCACTTTCCGAAGAAGATGGCATCACCATAATTAAGGATGCTTATAGCAAGGGAGTCACCTTCTTTGATACAGCCGACGAGTATGGACGAAATGCTAATGAAGTTCTGGTGGGAAAGGTACTTATCTTTGCATAAGCAGTGACATTTGCTTTTTACAAATCAATGGGCTGTGCCAATTCATCCAGTTCTATCTCAAGAGCAAAAGTTACTATTCTTCTCCTTAAGATCAAATTGGCTGAAAAAGACTCTGCCTCTTCCTTGTTTTGCGGAGCCTGAAAGAGGTTGCATCTTAAGGGAGGGTTAGGTATATGGAATTTGATTTATTTTCTCCCGTGCTTATTACGAACTTAACCCTTTTCAGATCACTTTAGTCATGTACTCAAAGATAGTTAAAAGAAGGAAAAGAAGAAATTAATTGCCTTAGACAAATGTTCTCCTTCTAATTGGTTTTTCCACAGATAGGGGAATCTCATCTTTGTATGGCAACCTTGATTTAATGATATTGCGATTCGATTTAGGCCTTGAAGCAGCTCCCGAGAGAAAATATTCAGCTTGCCACTAAGTTCGGTTTAATGAGAGTGGAGGCTTCTAAGGTGGTGGTTAAGGGTAGCCCTGAATATGTGCGATCATGTTGCGAAGCTAGCTTGAAGCGCCTAGGTGTGGAATACATTGATCTGTATTATCAGCATCGAGTGGACACTTCAATTCCCATTGAAGAAACTGTGAGTGCTTCTTTTGCAATTTTTTCTTTGGGTACCCCTTATTTTGCATTTCTAGTGCATGGTTACCATCTTGTGTCTTTTGGTGATTGATTTTTCTCTTGAAAAATTATATTCCATCCCTTCTGAAGCCATGCGTTTCCTGGTACATAGATGGGAGAACTTAAGAAACTTGTGGAAGAGGGGAAAATAAAGTATATCGGTCTGTCTGAGGCGAGCCCAAGCACGATTAGACGAGCTCATGCAGTTCATCCCATTACGGCAGTACAAATGGAGTGGTCTCTCTGGAGTCGTGATATTGAGGAGGAGATAGTTCCGTTATGCGGGTTAGTTAGTCCACAGTAGCATCTTTTACTTCATTTTCTTTGGGGTAAGAAAAAAGTTTAGGAGGATATCTCCCTTCAGCCCACGAAATCACGCGACTTTGATCTTCTACATGACCTCTAAAACAACTTTATGTTGCAGCCACACGTGCAGTGCTGACATTCTTTATGATGTTTTCTGATCCAAAAGTGCTGTCTTGATGTTGCTAAATGCCAGGGATCTTGGTATTGGAATAGTTCCATACAGTCCGCTTGGCCGTGGCTTCTTTGGTGGCAAAGCTGTCCTTGAAAGCTTGCCTTCTGACAGTAGACTGGTATGTAGCCATTTCATTTGGCATAGAAGTTCCGTTTTCAAGCTCAAGTACTTGAGTCTCCGATGGAAATACTCTGTGATTTGAAGACACTATTTTGATTCAGTTGGCTTTGGAACCAAAAAAAATTGTGCTGGCCCCCAAAAAGTATCTTATGAATGTTGTGAAAGAAGTGGAAGAGAAATTTTATATATTTCAATGGAAATAGTGAAGAGTACATGGAACCTATTTATAAGCTTGAATAGATTACAATCTAAGGAAATCAGATCAAATATGCATAATCAAAATAGATACAGAGAATCAAAGGAAATAATCTAAATATCTCTAGAAAATACCTGAATATCTCAAACACTCCCCCTCAAGCTTAAGCATACATATTAATCATGCCCTACTTGTTACAAATATATTCTATCCTCCCATCATCCATAATATTAGTAAAAATGTCTGCAAGTTCACCGTTCCTAATATGATTGGGAAGGATCACTCTACTTTGTAGCTTCTCTTAAATAAAATGACAATCAACCTTAATGTGTTTTGTTCTCTCATGAAACACAGGGTTGGAAGCTATATGTATTGCTGCCTTATTATCACACCATAGAGACATAGGAACCGAAGCTTTAAAGCCTAACTCAGTCAATAGCTATTGAATCTACACTAATTCACGTGTCACTTATGCTATGATTCTATATTCTGACTTGGCACTGGAGCAGCCAATAACACTCTATTTCTTATTCCCCTATGACACTAGATTTCCTTCAACCAAGGTACAATAGCCAGTGGTTGATCTCCTATCATCTAGAGACCCTGCCCAATCAACATCAGAGAATCCTTCAACTCTGTTATGACCATGGTTTTGGTAAACATTTCCTTTCCCTGTAGCCTTCTTCAAGTACCTCAAAATCCAAATAACTGCATCCCAGTAAGATGTATGAGGGGAAGATAGAAATTGACTTACCACACTAACTGGAAAGGTAATGTCTAGTCGAGTAATTGTGAGATAATTCAGCTTACCTATCAGTCTTCAATATCTCTCAAGATTATCAAGAATCTTTCCTCCCTCGGCAACCAGTGCAATTCCTTGTTCTTTTTTTTTTTTTTGGGTCGAAAACTCCTTGTTCAATAGGTGAATCAAGACGCTTTGATCCCAACATGCTTGTCTCAGTGAGCAAATCCAAGACATATTTTCGCTGTGATAGGACGATACCTTTCTATGAATGTGCCACCTCAAATCCTAGGAAATACTTCAACTTTCCCAAGTCTTTAATCTAAAACTGTTGCTAAAGATAGACCTTTAATTCAGCTATATCAACCAAGTCATTTCCCGTGATAATGATATTATCAACATACACAATCAAGAACAACTTGTCTCCCCCTAACTGTTTATTAAAGAAAAAGTGATCATTTTCACATCTAGATAGTCCAAAAGACAGTACAACCTCGTAAAATCGTCCACATCACGCCTGTATGGATTGCTTCAAACCATACAGCGACTTTTTTATCTTGCAAATTAGTCTCCCAGACTCCCTTGAGCAACAAACCCCGGAGGTTACTCCATATACATCTCCTCATAAAGAGTACCATGCAACAGAGCATTCTTGACATCAAGCCGAAACAAGGGCCAGTTATATGGCAGTAAGAGAGATCGAAATAGGAACAGATGTGAGCTTGGCAACCTGAGAAAAAGTGTCTAAATAGTCGACCATATACACTTGAGCACCTTTCGCAACAAGTCTTACTTTTAAGCTAGGAAGAGAGCCATCAGGATTGACTTTGACAGCATATACCCGTTAACAATCAATAGCAGTAAAGGAAGAGGTACCAAGTCTCAAGTTTGATTAACCTGTAGGGCCTATAATTCTTCTTCCATAGCTGTCCTATAGCCAGAGCTTTGTAATGCCTCACTTACAAACTTGGGGACAAGATTTAGTTCAGCGGTAAATAAAAAGGACCAAAAGGATGGGGACACAGAAGAGTATGAGATAAATTTTACAACAGAATGTTGAGTACAAGTATGTGTACCTTTGTGATGAGCAATAGGAAGATCGACATTAGACACAAGAAGAGGGTCAAGTAATGGTAGATCTAGAGTTAAAGATGATGTAGTAGTGACAGGGGGAAGGAAGAAGTAGTAGCTACTCGAAGACGCCGAGTATATACCTTGAGAGGAGTTGGTTCTTGTGCAAATACTAGTGAAACAGGTGGAACAGTTGACCAAATGATGGTCACATGTAAGATTTCATCCACCTCAGGAACAGTAACCAAAACATCAAGATATGGAGTAGAATTAAAGAATGAAACATCAGCATTTATAAAGTACTTCCACAATGATGGAGAATAACAGCGTTATCCCTTTTGAGTATGAGAATAACCAAGAAACACACACTTGATGGCCTCGAGATCAAGTTTTGATACTCCGGGTCGATGATCACGAATAAAACAGACACAACCAAAAATATGTGGTGATAAGACAAATAATGATTGATTGGAAAACAAAGTAGAAGGCACACAATTAATGAGATAACATACAGTCAGGATAGTATCAAACCAAAAGGTTTTGGGGATCTTCATCTCAAATAACATAGACCTAGTGACTTCCAATAAATGCCTCTTCTTCCTTTCAGCTACACCTTTTTGTTGGGTTGTATCAGAACAGGAAGATTCATGAATCATACCATGTTGAGTCATAAAGTCTGAAAAAAGTGTGGAAAATTACTCCTTAGCATTATAAGAACGCAAAACTTTAACATGCGCATCAAACTGAGCGTGAATTTCAGGAATAAGGGCACAAAATATAGAAAACAATTGTGAACTATTTTTCATTAGAAATAGCCAAGTGACTCTAGAATAATCATAAAAAAAAGCAACAAAGTATATAAAACCCAAACTGGAAATATCTTAATGAACTAACGAAAAAGGAGGCACCACTCACTTAATTACATGAGGCGAGTAACTGACATGATGCAATTTGCTAGGTTGACATGACTCACACTCTAAACTAGAAAGATACTGAAAACTAGAATCTAACTTCTAAAAACTATGCAGTGAAGGATGGCCAAGATGACAATATATCTGATGTAGGGAAGCAACACTAGAGCATCCAATAGATGGAGCATTTTCAAGCACATACAGCCCCTGCCTTGCCTCGTGTTCTCTACCGATCATCATCTTCGTAACCAGATCTTGAAAAATAAAAGAATTAGGATAGAATGTCACCGAACACTCAAGTTTTTGGTTGAGGTTAAACAGAAATTATGGGAGATAAAGCATTGAGGATAATGGCAATGAAGGAGTTGGATAAACTGTACCAACCCCATTCACTTATGTAGATGAGCCATTAGCTAGGGTAACAGCGGATGATGATGGAGTAAGAGAGGAAAATATACCCGAAAGTCCTGACATATGATCGGAAGCCCCTGAATCAATGATCCAAAGGCAAGAGAGACGTAGCTAAAAGGCATGCAGTAACTTTACCTGTCTATACCAGAATAGCAATAGAAGAAGCAGGTTGTGAGATATGAAACTGGTTGTATCCAGCAAATTCCTCATCAGACATAATCACTATGTTGCCTTCAGAAGACTAAGGCAAAGTAGAAGAGTCAGTACCGGATGCAATATGTGCAAACTGTTATTGTTGCCCTAGTCTCCCATGTAACTTGTAGCAAAAAATTTTAATGTGACCAGGTTTGCCACGGTGATGACAAGTCCGAACAGCCCCTGAGTTATCAATAGAAACGTGGAACTATCCATAAAGCTGCTATTGACCTTGGCCTCTCCCTATTCCTGTGCGTCGACCACCACCACAGCTACCATGGCCATTATTGTCCTCTTCGGTTTCCTCCTCCACTCCTACCAACAACAAAAGTTTGAGATTGGGACACAAGAGCGGAACTATCTACCACAAACTTGGTATCCCGATAAGACTCACAAGATACCCGAAGAACTCGAGCAAATGTATCTGTGAGTGATGCAATAATCTCTCCTTTGAAAATCTGAGATCTAACAATTTCATATTATGGACCGAGACCTCTTAGGAATTCCATTACAGCTAATTGTTCTCTCTGAAATTGCATTTGTTGAACATTGGCCAAAATAGGGAGAAGAGCATTCAACTCTTCATTCATCCTCTTGAAATCAGCAAAGTACTATGTAATGGAATGCCCCTTCCTCTTAGATTGGTAAAACTCATGCGATAGCTCATAAATCCGTGAAAGATTATTTTGGCCATAATACAATACATCCAAATACTCCCACAATTCTTTGACTATGTCAACATGAGTTACGAGATCAACTATATTACTCTCCGTAGAGTTTAGCATCTGACTAAGAATTCGTGCATCAATAACATCCCAAGTTGCATCATCCTTGAGTTTAGGCCCAGTCGGGTGTATATGCCGATTTCTTCCTATCAAAGTTAACTTCACAATTTTCTTCTATATATTGTTGAAAGTTGGTGCTACCCCTAAGCTTCTTAATGGTAATTCAATTAGAAGAAGAGGAAATCACCTCAGCCGTTACAGTAATACTCTTCTCAGGATCAGCCATTCTCCAATAAGAAAACTACCACAATATTTTCCTTCAAGCAACTCAACCACAACAGTTGAATCAAACCAACAGTTCAGACATAGAGACAGAGTACCGGATAACATCCTTTACAGTCCCAAAGTTTTCCTAGAGAACCGAGGAGCGTCGTCTTCTTCCTGGGGACGTGTGTTTCCTGTGCCACAATCAGGGTTGCTGCCCAAGCTCCACTCCCTCACGCCGACCCAACGTCACACCTTCCTTCAACATGATTCTGTGATCTAGGCTGTGTGGGGCTAGGCGCTACTGGACAACGCCGGATCTGGGCCGGGGGCAGTTTTTCTTGTTTTTAGAGAAAATTTCAATGATAGATGACGGCTCTAATACCATGTGAAAGAAGTGGAAGAGAGAAATTATGTGTATTTCATTGTAAATAAAGAAGAGTACATGGAGCCTATTTATAGGCTTGAATAGATGGCATTATAAGGAAATCAGATCAGATATGGATAATCAAGATGGATATGGAAAGTCAAAGTAAATATTCAAAATATACCTAAATATCTCTAACAAATGTAATACTATAACCATAGGAGAAGCGAAAAACTGAGGCTTTATCAGTTGCAACAGCGTGGATTAATATTGGACTCACTGGTGATTGAATGACAACCCACTTAACAAAATTATAGTCCACGGAGACTAATGCGCGTGTTCTCTTTGGAAGGCTATGTACCCTCGATTCAAAAAGGAGAACCTGGATAAGAACAGAAACCTTTATACTCGGATGGATAATCTTGCCAAGAAACACGGGTGCACCCCAGCGCAATTAGCTCTAGCATGGGTTCTTGGACAAGGAGACATGGTTGTACCAATCCCTGGTGAGCCCTCTATCCGATAAGCTTCTGCTTCAACGTAAATCTGCCACTTGTATGATTGTCGCTGTGGTGTAGACGTTTTTGTAAAAAGAAAAAAAAAATGAGCCATCAAGTAGCTGTTGTGTATAAAAACCACACAGGCTTTCTAGTGGGTCTGTGTGGCCTTATGAATTGCCGAGAAGAAGGCATGCATTTATATCATCTTTGTTTCAAGTAAATACTCTCAAAGTGACTTCTAACATAATTCCTTGGAATGTTTGCTGGTTTTCTTCTAACTCCAGGGACAACTAAGATTAAGAACTTGGATGACAATATCGGCTCTCTCAAACTAAAGCTTACCGAGGAAGATCTGAAAGAGATCTCTGATGCTGTACCTGTCAATGAGGTAGCCGGAGATAGAACCTTCGAGAGCACCACTGAAGTGACTTGGAAGTTTGCTAATACACCTTTACCAATTCAGAAAGTCTGAGCCCAAGCTGGCCGGGCAATTTAAGCTTTGGTCCACTGAGCAACAATGTAGTATGGGAGCACTGATAGAGAAAAAGAGAAGATGACTCGTGAACTCTGGCAATGCTTCTGCTCCTATGGCAGCGAAATAAATGTGCCGTGCCTGTTGGAGAGAGCACTTCTCTCCCTTCATCTCTCCCCTTAAAGCATAAAAATAACATGCGCATGCCTTGTTTTTGGATTGTGATGCCTTTCCGTTTCCATATGATCTTGTCAATTTTCTGTCCCGTTAGGGAAGAGATGGTTTCAACCCAGGAAATTTTAGTCTGCAGCTAGCTCATCAATCATCAAATAATCAAGATTTATGCAGAATCTTACCCTGCGCTTGGATTTCAGTGCTAAGTCTGGAAGTGTCAGGAATATATGATGTCGAATTTGTTTCGGTTTCAACTAAGAAAAAAGATAAGCGAAGAACTAGTGCTTTGTTATCCCTGGGTAATCAAACAGAACTCACTATACAATGCTTGTTGACAAACATTTAACCTTATTCAGACAAAAGAATCTATTTGCTGAAGTTTAAGGGGATGCAATGACTTTTCTTGTAATGGAATAGTTGCATACAGTCCTCTTGGACTTCGCTTTATTGTTGTTGCTCCTTTTTCTCCCTTTTTAGCAGAATCTAATTGTTGAAGTTCGACTTCGGTGACTACTTTACTGAGCGTGTCCAATTCAGCCAGATCATGATTCCTGAGGGTGCATTTATCCCTCTTCAGACGAGTGGACGAAACGAAATTCCTGATAAAACATAAGGGACGAAAGGCAACAGAAGGAACCGAGTCTTCATGCTTGCTTACTCACTCGCGTCACCTTGAAAAGGAAACAATCATTGCAGACTACTGTTATTGATTATGGGATAATGTGATGGACTGTACTTAATTACAAATACATGTTATTATATGAGACAAAGTGTGAGTACTTTGAGCGTGACAGGGGATCGTAATACAGTGACCGCCATTCATGCAATAGCAAGGGTAGTTTCAAAATATTTTTGTTTTCGAGTTTGTTCAATGTGTCATAATTTAGATGACTCGATCTAGTGAAGTAAGCTGGCACTACGCAGTAATGTTTAGGTGCTCCCAGAGAACCGAGTGACGGTCTACCCAACAAAGAAAGTTAAGAACTTCAACTGCAAGATTCTATGGCAGTGATCTTTCCCCATTTGAATGTTGGATCTTTTCTCTGTTTGTGTCCGTTGAAGTCCACGATATTTGATCCTGGAGCAGTGCTGAAAATCCTCACTAGGATTTTCGCCTATCCCTACAGATGCCCAAAGCACTCACTCGGTGCAACCTTAAGCTTTTAGATGGTCTGGCAGTTTTACATATGTCCAGTACATCCATTTCCTAATTTGGTTTCGGTAAATGTATAGAAGTTGGGGTTCGGATGCATCGGCTTGAGTGGTGTCTACGACACTATCATTTCCAAGGAGGATGGCGTTGCCACAATAAAGCATGCTCGTAGCAAGGGAATCACTTTCTTTGATACGGATGTGTATGGAGCACTTGTTAATGAAGTTCTGGTTGGGATGGTATATATACACCCGAATTCTCAAGTTTTGCCGCGATCCCAGTTCAATTCATTTTATTTATTTGCGCACATCATATCGAAAGTTAGTTTTTTCATTCTCCTTCCGTCAGTTCATTTCCTGAGAAAAAAGGAAGAATGAAGGAAAAAGTCATTCACATACACGGAAACTAGATTATCTATGGTGATAGAGTCGATATTGAAGTTGGAGACCGTGACGTCATTTTTTTCATGCAGCATTTTCATCTGTTATTCTTCTTACCGTTCTACAATTTTTTTAAGGTCTTGAAGCAACTGCACAGAGAAAATATTCAGCTAGGCACAAAGTTTGGTTTAGTAAGGTCGGACAATTCTGAAGTCATAATTAAGGGCAAGCCTGAAAATGTGTGTTCTTGTTGCGAAGATGGTTTGAAGCGGCTCAATGTGGAACACATTGATATATATCATCAGCATCTGAGTGGACACATCACATCCAATTGAAGAAACTCTAAGTGCCTTTTTCTTTCATGTGCATATGTACTATCTTTTTAATCTTTCGGTGATCATGTTCATTTTGAAAAAGTTCGGTTCTGCAGATGGGAGCACTTAAAAAATTGGTGGAAGAGGGAAAATTTTAGTACGTTGGTCTAGCTGAAACCAGTCCAAACACAATTCGAAGAGCTCATGTAGCCCATCTCGTCACGGTAGTGGTCCCTATGGGACTCGTGATGTCAAGGAAGAGATAATTCCATTATGCCAGTTACTACATAAAAAATTCGATTAAAGAAAATGAAGCCACCATAATTAATAATTTCCAAAACTTTCATGCACTCAAATGCTGAGACGTAACTCATTTATATAAATTTTTCATAATTTAATTTAAATTTTGATGGGAAACTTAAAAATATACATTTTTTTATTTATTTTGATGCGGTAAACAAACAGAATATTTAAGGTGGCGTTGAAATTTAAAAGTCGTTTTATTATCCATTGGACCTGAAACGTGGATGTTAATAGCAAAAAAAAAAACTCAATGACTCTGCTGACATATTCGCGTGCGTCATGCCCGCAATGCAAGTCCGCTCCAGTCGAAAGATTGGAACGACCGATATCCAAACTGTCTCTGCTTACATAGTCGCATGCGTCATGCCCGTCGTACTGTTCTCCAGACATATATAATCTCTCCAAGCAACTGGGCAATTCCGAGATCGCACGGACCCTCAGCACGAAAAGCAGAAGCAGATATACTCAAAACAGTGAAGGATTAAACTCAACACACCGGTAGAAAACAATGGCAGGAGTGGAGATTCCAAGAGTGAAGCTTGGAAGCCAGGGACTGGAGGTAATATCAACGCAATCCCAGATCTTTTTTAGTGCCCGTTACATGTATTTCCAAGAAATGATTAGTTGTGCTTCTTGATTGTGCGTGTACTGAAAGGGCTGGACTTTTTGTTGTTGTGCTTCTTGATGTCGTTCTCTATGTAGAAAATGTGTAGATGGGTTGATTTCTTTATGGAATTTTTGGGTGGTTAGGGACGTGGGCATTGGATTTATGGATGAAAGTTTCGAGCTTGAGCCGTGGGTAATGAGTAGAATTGTCTGCTACACATCCACTGATACAATAGGGGCTTTTTGCGGTGCTGCAAGTATTGAAATTGGATATCTGGGTTCTTATTTGTGTCTACAATGGAAGCAGAGGTCTTATCCGGCCAAGTCAACTCGACACAATTCAGGTGTGCTCGAGTTTGACTCTACTTGAATCGAGTATTCAAGGTTGGGGTCTGGACACTCGACTTGAGCTCGATCTAGCTTGAATTTTCCAAAGAAACTGGGCTCAATCCATGAAGAATTTGGTATGCTCGACTAGTCTTGACTTGATTTAGTCTAAGCTCAAGTTAAAGTCATTGAGCTCGAGAATGAACTCGTTTTCTCAAAGTCCAATAGGAACAAGAAATAACATTATGCATGATTTTCTTTTATGTATAACTGAAAAACTCAAATTTCAAACTACTCGAGCAAGCTTGTGAGCTGCGCATGTTAAGAATTTAAGCTGGAGCTCAATGGAATTTGGTATTTGAGCACACATATACCAAAGGAATTAAGTCAAGCAGGACTAATCTGCTAGTTGAGATTGTGCAGATCACTATTACCATGACACATTTTTGTCCCCACCCTACATCGGAGTTTTTGAACTTTAATGGCAATGTTCAGCTTGGAAATATGAACAGCATTTTGCCTGATATACACGTTTTGAAAATGGTAAGTAGTAAACTCACCTCTTTTTTTACCACAGGTATCCAAGCTGGGGTTTGGATGCATGGGCTTGACTGGTGCCTACAACTCTCCACTTTCCGAAGAAGACGGCATCACCATAATTAAGGATGCTTATAGCAAGGGAATCACCTTCTTTGATACAGCCGATGTGTATGGAGCAAATGCTAATGAAGTTCTGGTGGGAAAGGTACTTATCTTTGCATAAGCAGCGACATTTGCTTATTACCAATCAATGGGTTGTGCCAATTCGTCCAGTTTGTATCTCAAGAGCAAAAGTTACTATTCTTCTACTGAAGATCAAATTGGCCGAAAAAGACTCTGCCTCTTTTTCTTTCCTTGTTTTGAGGAGCCTGAAAGAGGTTGCGTCTTGAGGGACGGTTAGGTATATGGAATTTGATTTATCTTCTCCCCTGCTTAGTACGAACTTAACCCTTCTCAGATCACTTTAGTCATGTACTCAAAGATAGTTAAAAGTAGGAAAAGAAGAAATTAATTGCCTTGGACAAATGTTCTCCTTCTGATTGGTTTTTCCAGAGATAGGGGAATCTCATCTTCGTATGGCAACCTTGGTTTAATGATATTGTGATTTGCTTTAGGCCTTGAAGCAGCTCCCGAGAGAAAATATTCAGCTTGCCACTAAGTTCGGTATAATTAGAGTGGAAGCTTCTAAGATGGTGGTTAAGGGTAACCCTGAATATGTGCGATCATGTTGCGAAGCTAGCTTGAAGCGCCTAGGAGTTGAATACATTGATCTGTATTATCAGCATCGAGTGGACACTTCAATTCCCATTGAAGAAACTGTAAGTGCTTCTTTTGCAATTTTTTCCTTGGGTACCCCTTCTTTTGCATTTCTAGTGCATGTTTACCATCCTGTGTTTTGGTGATTGATTTTTCTCTTGAAAAATTATATTCCATCCCTTCTGAAGCCATGCATTTCCTGGTACATAGATGGGAGAACTTAAGAAACTGGTGGAAGAGGGGAAAATAAAGTATATCGGTCTGTCTGAGGCGAGCCCAGACACGATTAGGCGAGCTCATGCAGTTCATCCCATTACGGCAGTACAAATGGAGTGGTCTCTCTGGACTCGTGATATTGAGGTGGAGATAGTTCCATTATGCAGGTTAGTTAGTCCACAGTAGCATCTTTTACTTCTTTATTTATTTATTTATTTATTTGGGGGGGATAAGAAAAAGTAAAGGAGTGTATCTCCCTTTAGCCCACGAAATCGTATGACATGGGTCTTTTATATGACCTCTCAAACAACTTTATGTTGCAGACCCACGTGCAGTGTTGACATTCTTTATAATGTTTCCTGATCCAAAAATGCTGCCTTGATGTTGCTAAATGCCAGGGAGCTTGGCATTGGAATAGTTCCATACAGTCCGCTTGGTCGTGGCTTTTTTGGTGGCAAAGCTGTCATTGAAAGTTTGCCTTCAGACAGTAATCTGGTATGTAGCCATTTCATTTGGCATAGAAGTTCCATTTTCAAGCTCCAGTTCTTTAGTCTTCGATGGAATGCTCTGTGATTTGAAGACACTATCTTGATTCTGTTGGCTTTGGAACCAAAAAAAGTTTTGTTGGTCCCAAAAAGTATCTTTTGAATGTAACTACTATTAATATGGGAGAAGCGGAAAACTAAGACTTTATCAGTTGCAACACCTTGGATTAATATCGGACTCACTGGTGATTGAATGGCAACCCACTTTACAAAATTATAGTCCAGGGAGACTAATGCCCATGTTCTCTTTGGAAGGCCATGCACCCTCGATTCAAAAAGGAGAACCTGGATAAGAACAGAAACCTTTATGCTCGGATGGATAATCTTGCCAAGAAACACGGGTGCACCCCAGCACAATTAGCTCTAGCATGGGTTCTTGGACAAGGAGACATGATTGTACCAATCCCTGGTGAGCCCTCTATCCAATAAGCTTCTGCTTCAAGTTAAATCTGCGACTTGTATGATTGTCGCTGTGGTGTAGACTTTTTTGTTAAAAAAGAAAAAAGAGCCATCAAGTGGCTGTTGTGTATAAAAACCACACAGGCTATCTAGTGGGTCTGTGTGGCCTTATGAATTGCCGAGAAGAAGGCATGCATTTATATCGCCTTTGATCCAAGTAAATACTCTCAAAGTGACTCCTAACATAATTCCTTGGAATGTTTGCTGGTTTTCTTCTAACTCCAGGGACAACTAAGATTAAGAACTTGGATGACAATATCGGCTCTTTCAAACTGAAGCTTACCGAAGAAGGTCTGAAAGAGATCTCTGATGCTGTACCTGTCAATGAGGTAGCCGGAGGTAGAACCTACGAGGGCTTCACTCAAGTGACTTGGAAGTTTGCTAATACACCTCTACCAACTGAGAAAGTTTGAGCCCAAGAATTTCAGTCTGGTCGGGCAATTTAAGCATTTGTCGACATGCAATAATGAAGTATGTGAGCGCTGATAGAGAAAAAGAGAAGATGACTTATGAACTTCGGCAATGCTTCTGCTCCTGTGGCAATGAAGTAAATGTGCCATGCCCATTGGAGAGAGGACTTCTCTCCGTTTATCTCGGTCCCCTTAAAGCATAAAAATAACATGCCATGCCTTGTTTTTGGATTGTGATGCCTTTCCATTTTCGTATGATCTTGTCATTTTTCTGTTCCCTTTGGGAAGAATATGGTTTCAACCCAGAAAATTTTGGTCTGCATCTAGTACATCAATCATCAAATAGACAGGATTTATGCAGAAACTTGCCCTACGTTTGGATTTTAATGGTTCAGTGCTATGTCTGGAAGTGTCTGGAATATATGATGTCAAATTCGTTTCGGTTTCAACCACAAAAAAGAAGTTCGACTTTTCATCTTAGTGCCAAAAGAGCCACATTAAACAAAGATAAGGGAAGAACTAGTGCTTTGTTATCCTGGGGAAATCAAACAGGACTCGCTATACGATAGTTATTGACAAAAAGTTCACCTTACTACGACAAAAGAATCTATTTGCTGAAGTTTTAGAGAATGCAATGACTTGTTTAGTTGTGCAATAGTTTCATACAGTCATCCTGGACTTCGCATTATTATTATTGTTCTTTTTTCTCTCTTTTTAGGCGAATCTATTTGCTGAAGTTTGACTTCGGAGACTGCTTTACTGAGCGTGTCCAATTCTGCCAGATCATGACTTCCTGTTCAAACAAGTGGACATAATGAAATTCCTGATACAACATAAGGGGTAAATGGCAATAAAGAGATCTGAGTCTCCACAGTCCTATGCTCGCTTACTAACTTGCGTCACCTTAAAAGGGAAACAATAATTGCAGACTAATGTTATAGATTATGGGATGATGTGATGGACACTTAATTACTAATACGTGATGTTATTATATGAGACGTAGTGTGACTACTTTAAGTGAGTGTGATAGGGGATTGTAATACAATGACCACCATTCATGCAATAGCAAGGGTAGTTTCAGAATATTTTAGCACAAAGTTTGAGATTGAAAATTATTAGAGTTTGTTCGATGTGTAATAATTCATACTGGTTTGACTTGATCTAGTAAAGTAAGTTGGCACTCCGCAGTAATGTTTGGGTGCTCCTAGAGAACCGAGTGACGGTCAACCCAACTAACAAAGTTAAGAACTTCAAATGCAAGATTCTATGGCAGTGATCTTTCCCCATGTCAATGTCGGATATTTTCTCTGTTTGTGGCCGTTGAAGTCCATGATATGTAATCCCGGAGCAGTGCTGAGGATGCCCTACGGCTGCCCAAAGCAGTCACCTACATGTTTAATTACCGCACACCTCGGTGGAACCTTAAGCTATTAGATGGATAGGCAGTGTTTCCATATGTCCAGTACAGTTATGTCCTCATTTTGTTCTCGATACATGTACCAAAGTTGGAGGCATCGGCTTGAGCGATGTCTACGACAATATCATTTTCAAGGAGCATGGCGTTGCCATAATAAAGTATGCTTGTAGCAACGGAGTCAATTTCTTTGATACCGCATGTGTTTGGTTGGGATGGTATATGTACCCCCGAATTCTCAAGTTTTGCTGCAACCCCAGTTCAATGCATCTTATTTATTTGTGCATCATATCGAAAGTTGGTTTTTTCATTCTGGTTCGATCAGTTCATTTCACAAGACAAAAAGGAAGAAAGGAAGGAAAAAGTCATTCGCATATAGGGAAACAAGATAATCTATGGTTATAGAGTTGACATTGAAGTTGGAGACCGTGATGTCATTATTTTTATGCAACATTTTCATCCGTTATTCTTCTTACCGTTAAACAATTTTTTTAAGGCCTTAAGTAACTGTCAAGAGAAAATATTCAGCTATGCACGAAGTTTGGTATAGTAAGGTCGGACCATTCTAACATCATAGTTAAATGCAAGCTTGAATACGTGTGTTCTTGTTGCGAAGCTAGTTTGAAGCGGCTCAATGTGGAATACATTGATCTATATCATCAGCATCGAGTGGACACATCACGTCCAACTGAAGAAATTCTAAGTGACTTTCTTTAATGTACATCTGTACCATCCTTTTAATCTTTTGGTGATCTGGTTCATTTTGAAGAAGTAGATCACATAGCAAGAAAATGCTAAACCATATAAGTTCGGTTTTGCAGATGGAGCAACCGGAAAAACTGGTGGAAGAGTATAAAATAAAGTACATTAGAAGCCAGCCAAGACATGATTTAGAGAGCTCACGCAGTCCATCCCGTTACGGCAGTAAAGATGGAGTGGTCTCTATTGACTCGTGATATCAAGGAGGAGTTAATTCCATTATGCAGCTTTCTGCATATAGCCTTTTCGACTTTGTGAATACCCATGGTATTCTAATTCGTAAGGTGGTTTGATGTCAAAATGCTGACTTAATGTTGTTTCAATGCCAGAGAGCTTAGTGTTGGAATGGTTCCTTATACTCTTGGTCTTTGATCCAATGGATACTAAACTTTCTTGAAATTGGAAGTTTTTATAATGAGCTATCACACGCAACTTGTGCTCTAAAAGTTCTTTTATTCAGCATTTAATTTGTTTTCCATTACGATGAAATTTAAAAAATAAAGGAAATCTTTATGTCCTCGTTTCAAAAAAATAGGAAAAAAGTACAATGTCTTGGCCTTTAGCAGGACTATATCTGAAATAACTCATTCTCTGTCTCCAGAAGGAGCAGAAACACAGAAGCTCAAATTAAAGGCTGAGAAAATAAATGGCAGGATTTGATATTCCAGGAGTGAAGCTGGGAAGCCAAGGACTGGAGGTAAATTTAACAAAACTGAATCCCAAATCTTTGAATGCCCAGTAACTTTTTCCGGGAGCAGCTCGGTCATGCTTACTCTTTTTGTTCATTAAATTTCTACTGTAAAATGAGAGATGCTGAACCCTGATCTACACCCTTGGGTGGTCTCAGTCTGGTAAACGTATCTGGGGATTGATCAGAAGTTATCTTGATACTTTCTCTAGCTTCTGAAACTATGGGAGTAAGATTGTTAGTCTCATATTCTGTGTTTGTGCCCACTGAGCTTAGGGCCTGTAAATGAAGGCACAAAAATGCTAATCACTCTTAAGTTTGTTTGTGTTCAGGTATCTAAGTTGGGATTCGGATGTATGGGCTTGAGTGGCATCTACAACTCTCCACTTTCCAATGAGGACGGCCTCACGATAATAAAGGAAGCTTATAGCAAGGGAATCACATTTTTTGACACAGCCGATGCATATGGAGCGAATGCAAATGAAGTTTTGGTCAAGAAGGTACATTATTATTCCAGGAAAAGCATTGTGTTTCTGTGACCCCATACATTATCATGCCAGTTATCATGCGCCTATGATCTGAAGCTCAATATTTGGTCTTTACATTCCTTTTCTTTGGATGAACCTGAAGAGGATACTGTATACATCTTGTCGGAGGCTGAGGTACTAAGGACGAGATGCTTTTATACCCAGTTTTTATGCCAGCACTATTGTTTCAAAAAGCTTATAAATTTGTTATTCTGCTTAATGTGGGTCCATTTTATTTATGGAAATAGAGAGAAAAAAAGTAAAGAAGGAAGGAATTATCGCCTTCTGGAGATGTTTCCCTTCTATTTTTGCTTTCAAGGATACCAATTTTTCTCCATTTAGCGTGGTTGATTTGATGAATTATCATGCAATCATATAATAATTGGAGATTAAGGTGCTTCTGGTCTTAACAACTTCTTGTCGTCATCTGATACTCTTGGAACTCAATTCCATTGTAACCGTCTTTTAGGCCTTGAAGCAACTCCCAAGAGAAAACATTCAGCTAGCCACAAAGTTCGTCATAGTAAGATTAGACTATTCCAACTTGGTAGTTAAGGGCACCCCTGAATATGTGCGGTCATGTTGCGAAGCCAGTCTAAAGTGCCTCGGTGTGGAATACATTGATCTGTATTATCAGCATCAAGTCGACACATCAGTTCCCATAGAAGAAACTGTAAGTACCGCTTTTGTTGCCTAAATACATTGGCTGAGTTCTTCTTTTCTGTCATTTTGACCTTGCATGATGATTTGCTCTGTATAATAGTCTTTCGGCAATTGGTACCTTGAGTGGTTCCTTGAGGACTAATACAGACAAGTGTTGAACCATGTATTTCCTGTTCCATAGATGCACGGATTAAAGAAACTGGTGGAAGAGGGAAAGATAAAGTACATTGGTCTATATGAAGCCAGCCCGGACACGATTAGGAGAGCTCACAGAGTGCATCCAATTACAGCTGTGCAGATGGAGTGGTCTCTGTGGACATGTCATATCGAGGAGGAGATATTTCCATTATGCAGGTTAGTCTACATTAGCATCTGCATTTCATTAATTTGCTCGTGCATCTGCCATTTGCACAGGACACAGAAAGCTCAAACAACTTTTGGGTTTTTCATTTGGAGCAATCCACGAGGACTTCTGAAATGTACTCAATATAATACAACGGCACCTTTCTTCAATGTTCTTCAGTCATGTAGTTTGACTTTGATACGAAAATGACATATGGATGGTGTGACATGCTAGGGAGCTGGGTATTGGAATAGTTACGTACAGTCCTCTTGGCCGTGGCTTCTTTGCTGGCAAAGCTACTGTTGAGAGCTTGCCTTCAGTCAGCTCTCTGGTATGTCCTATCCATCTATTTCAATTAGAAGGATGTAATGCTACTGCAAAAAGTATCTTCTGGAGATGACTTTCAGTCAAATAACTGAACCATTGGTTGAACTAAAAAACTGGCCAGATTGAGCCTTGACAGGTTGTATAATCTTCACTTGATTTTGTTGCTTTTTGTATATGATCTTTCTGTTGGTTTTAAGACTTCATCTCCTTGAGGGAATTTTCTGATATAACGACTCATGGGGCAGTACACATTGAGTAA